GTGAGCTGGAATAATGTGGGCGTTGCCGAAATTAACGGCCTTCCTGTTTGTGGTTGCAGTGCTTGAGCTAATAGCCACTACAGAGAGCGAGTACCACGAGCTAGTGGTTCCCTGTCGCATCGGTTTGGATATAACTTCTGTTTCTGGCAGTGCTCTAATGTTAGCTATTTTCCTCATACATTATCATATATCAGATAGGTTACCATAAACGCCTTCTTGTTTTTCAATTAGTTATTCATGATTGATCATAATCTAAAAATATACCACTAAAAAAATGGTGGTTCTTAAGTTCAGTATTTTGGTAATGGTTTGTCGTTTTATTGCTAACGATTATGAACAATTATAGTAGTTTATGAATGGATGGGTCCAAGAAGGGTCTACCGAAGAAGAACATGCAAGTATCATTAAATTATACAAAAACATGTTATGGCTATTGCGCGAAGAATGCCTGCTTTGATACTAAGGGGGCCAAATAAAAAAAAATAAAAAATCGGCTCCTCCGTTTTAGAGACTACAGTATTTTTTTTTCCCGAATAATACTATAGGTATATCTTTGGCCGCGAGATGTGGTCTTCTTACAAACGAATATTGCTTGTGGGAGCACATATAGCCCTGAGGGGGTCACCCAACCTTGCTACCGACCTGGTTTTCCATGGTGCGGAGGTTATCATCCATATCCGATCTCTTTGTAGTCATTCTGTCAGTATTCAAATCGGTCTTGATTCATGGATTATGGCTGCGCAGAGTCAGCTGGCGCCTGAGCCCTATATTTATTTTTCTGAAATTTGCCGTCCTCGATCTATACCTGAGAAGGGCTACTGATACACGGAGTGAGGTCATCATACCTCCACTCGGTCGACGTGAGTTGCCTTTAGTAAGCTGATGGGGCTCACCTACCCGGAGAGGGAAGAAGAATCTCGGGGACCGTGCATTTCTCTGGTAGACGGTCACCCAATTCGATGATCACCTAGTACTTACAATGTTCGACGTTTCTTAACTTTGATTTCCTTTTGCCCGTTCAGATATTTCTGCCCAACATTTTATATATTAATATTATGATCATTCAAGTTTCTCATATTACAAATATTTGGACATTAGCCTTTTTTTCTACTTTACAGACTTCATTTTTTTTATATATTTTCTGTATTGATTAGAACACTTTATATTGTCCTCTATTTTCACAATCATTGTAAATATTTTACCACAGCTAGCCTCAAACCGACCCCGGGAGTCAAGTATCCAATTGCTTACGTCACTGGGTTCCCAACAAAATGGTTTATAAATATATAAGTTTGTGGGCTGATAACCTTCATGCAACGTCTGTGATGTTGCAACAAACAATCAAGAAGGCCTTGCTTGCGTTTTGACCCGGAAATCATATTCTCCAGGCTATTCATAGATTATCGAATTCGATAGACATTTCTTCTTTCCGAATTTTTTTATTTTGCAAAATTGTTATTAATCTTATCTCTAATTATTAAAAATATTTATATTTTAAAGAAAATTACAAATCAGAAAGCTATTATGAGTTAAAATCTTTAACGAATAGATATACATAATTATAGTTCAGATGTATTTTCAATCCTAATTCAAATTAATAGGTTTTATCAATTAACAGGCTCGGCGTGAAGAATTTGAAAAAAAAGTAGTTACAACATGAAAAAGTAGTTACATCATGAAATTCATTTTTAGGATTGGAATATTTTTATTTATTATTAAATGTAAGAAAACAGCAAGATACGCAATACGAATTTTTCAAAAATTGTTTGAGTACCCTTAGTATTTTAGATTTTTAAACAAATTTATGATTACTTTTTATTATATTTAATCACACCTAGATAACTATTCATAAATTTGTCCATTTATTTACATTTTAGTTATCTATATACAGTACAGATTGATTAAATATAATTAGAGAGATGCCTATCCCAGACGTTTATCTACGAATTGCAGACATTGACCATTCTGATAGAAACCTTCCAATAATAGATTCGTGCCAGGAACAGCGTCATTAACGCTGATTGGAACAGTGGAATCCCAGTATTGATGTCATATATACTATTTACTATCCTACATAATATAAATCAATTAGTATCAATCTAAACTTAAATGCCTTTAAAGTGTTTATTTATGGATAAAGTACCTTCTTTAGGTTATTTATATGTTTATGAGATTTTTTAATAATTATTATATTTAATCTATATATGATTATATTTTTATAGAAACTCTTTTTAATCTCACAATATTTCATTACAAGTTTAAACATTTTTACAATATTTAAAAAGTGTTGTCTTTTTAACGTTTTTTCGGCTCCACGATCCATTTTCAAAAATTATTTTTCTTTAAAAAAAATATTAGTCATATTAAAAAATTATTAATTTTTTTTTAAAAAACATATACGGATATATATATATATATATATATATATATATATATTAATATATATGTATATATATATAAAATACTACTCTATGTTAGTACTTGTTTTACTACATATAAAATATTTTTTGTTTTTTTTTTTTTATCTTGCTTTCGAAATTCCACAAAATTTCTCTTCTTTTTCTCATTTTATCAAAAACTCGATCCTGTAATTTAACACTACTTCGTAATGTAATAATCTACAAAAAACTTTCTTTTATAAACCACAAAAACACTATTTCTTTTTACAATTCTTTTTTGGGACAAAATTTATTTCATTACTGAAAAAAATTACAAAAACCAAAACTAAAAATGAGAAATAAAAAATGTTTACCTTAATTTATTTTCTCTCCTGATCATCCTCATTTCATCTTCACTGAGCTGTTTATTTATTTAAAAGATTATATTTCACTTGTTTATAACATTAAAAACAAAAGAATTACGGAAAACGTTTAACGTCTTACTTATGGCAGTTCATTAAAATGTTAAATGAAAGCAAATGTGGAATGTCTTTTAATATCAATATCTAAAAAGTTATTAATGCCGTTATAAAAATAGTGAGAAAGAATTTTATTTATTTAAACGTCATTTGTTGATTTTGTTATCACTTTCTTCTTCAACCGAAGCCTTATATGCAGTACTGTGTGAATAAAATGCTCTCTACTCAGAGGCCAGACGGTCTCGAAGCGAGAGAGACTCGAACTTGAAGCGATTCTCCTCCATTCAACCGTCTTTGTAGCCGTTCCTATTTTATCTCCCAAGGAGGCGAACTGTTGAGAACATGATATTTCAGACGAGTGTCTATCCTTGTACTATTCATATTGTATAAACATTGTTTCTTATTTTAATAATTTTCTGTAAAAAAAAAGTCTTATTTTCTAATTTCAATTTTCGTTAGTGTTATCCGAATTAAATTACTTTTTAGCTGAGGGCTGCTCGCAATATCGTTTAGTGACCGCACATATTCTCTCTTTGAGCACACCTTAAATCTCTCGTCATGATCTTAAACATCTACTAATTGAAGGTTTGAAATATAGTTTCTGAGGCCATTTGGTTTGGATATCCACTTGGATCTAATAACATTTATCCGTGATCCTCTTGAGAAATGATTCTTGCGAATCGCGTTCTGATTGTTACGAGGAGACATCCCTAGGTAGCCATTAGAGGTTTGGAAAAGGACTACAATTTTCTACCATATTTTTCTCATAGTGAAATAAATTTTAAATGGGATTTGATAAATAAATAAACAAATATTTGGTTTAAAGTAAAATTGGTAACAGTGAAAATTTTCAATTCTGAGGATTTTTTTCCTTCAAGAATTCAAAGTAATCTCACTGTAGCTTTGGTAGTGAGGAAGCCAAAAAGGAAATGATTTATTCATAAAGATAATAAAAAGTGGCTCATTCTGTGTTGCCATCTAGTTATGAGCAGTTGAGATATTAGCCTCAACTTTTTTAACAGAAATGGATTAAGGTAAAAGTACCTGTAATAAACACTTTAAGAGAAATTTTCAACATTAAAATGAACTGGGCTTTATTTCTGATGATGGATCTTTGCAAATGGTTTTAATAATCAGCAAATTTAGTCGTTTATAACTTTTTTTTCTATACAGTCAATTAGTTAATCCTTCATGAAAAACGTAGGAAATTCTATACCAGTAATAGACACCCAGATTTTGGGTCAACAGGTTTTTTATATAACTGAAAACTCCAAAACTTAATGTTACACTGCAAATTGCAGATGGATTACTACTTAAGTACTCCATGCCGTTACAGCCCTACAAGGGTCTGGCCCTCCTCTACAATTCTACTCCGCTCTCTCTATACCATCTGACCATCTTAATCGTCGATGTCCCCTCACTCTTCCTCCTCCAGGCTTACCATCCAGCAATATTTTGGGTGTCCTTCTCGCCGCCATCCACTTTACATGTCCGAACCACCTCAACTGATTCTTTCTTATAAAGGAAACCAGATCTAGTTCTTGGAACATTGCTTTCAAGTCTTCATTCTTTCTTATTGCAAATTGTAGATGAATGAATCATAATTTCAAACCTATCTCCTAAAGACGAGTAATGAGGGAACCTCTCTGAATAAACCTTAGCCTTGTTGAATATCACTTGAGTTTCGGTTTTCACCATCTTAAGTGTTCTGGCTCCAAACCTACCTTTATTTGCCTTTTTTCTAAGTTGTATAATGTTTATTATTGGTTAATAGTTGAAAATGTCTACTAGTTAGTAATACATTGTCAATTACTGAAACATTTACTTTTTATGCCGTTTAAAGAAAATTATAAGGAAAAGTGGATCTTGTCTTTGTTTTCTGTTATTCCTACGGTTCTGTATATCTTTACAATACTCCTTATTACAATAAGAACTACATTATTTGTATTATTTCAGCTTAGTTGTAATAATTGGATTATATAGTAATAACCAACCTGAATTGATGGCCCCTAAAGACTTCGAAGCCCTCCAAGATTCGATGCTGGTTTTACCGAAATTTTTTGTTTCTATATAAAGCAGTAATATACAATAACCCGAATCTAGGAATTTGAAGTGCAGTAATAGTTTTTAAAAAAACGTGTTAGTCACCTGTAAGGAACGAATCATCGAGAGCGTCACAAACTAAATTGCTCCTGATAAGATAAGATTGGCGAGGCGCTCAGTCGACCATGCGGCCTCCCACCTGCAATCAGCTCTCCCCCCGCAAGAAGAAGAAATCCGTCTTCTTCAGAGCCCTGTCCGCCGTGTCTTCCGTCGACGGTCTGTCTCGCTTCTTCCTCACCAACCTCTTCCGCGGTAGGAATCGGATTCGTGTCTATTCCAAGCAGAGTATCACCCATGTCAGCCCCTCGCCGATCTGTCTCAAGGTAAGCTTTCTTCTCAAATGTTTGTCCAACGTTGGAAATTTATTTAGGCTGATTATTTACCAAAAAATAATCAGATTAAAGACGCTGGCTAAAATATTATAGTACGTATTTCGTTTCGAAACTTGATGAAGCTATGTTATTCGGCGATTTAACCCAGTATCGAAGGAATTTGAAAGTGGGAGTTAAATAATTTATAAGCGCTGGAATAAATTTGTTTGACTAAATGAAGATAAAGCAATCAGAAAGACAGACAGGATTGAAACGATGGATTAACATTGGAAGAGCGGAACTAGGCTGTAGAAAATAGTGTTAGGCAATCTTGTTGCTTTGAATATTGTCGATGTCGAAAATATGGTATCAAACTTCAAAGCTCAGAAAGCCTTACAATTCTCGAATAAAATAACTCCGTTTGTGGGAACATGATTTTTCTGTAAATATCGATATTTTTGTCTGTCAATTTTATTTCGATATATTGGTATTTGACATTTGATTTGACTAACTAAAACCTTTTTTTTTTTCAAGATAAAATTTACAAAAAAAAAAAATGTTCATAGAGATAACCGCCTCATCGGTGGGGACATGAAATAAAATTTGAAACAACAACGAGTTATCTTGTAGGTTGAAGTAGACTCGTAGGCGCATGTTATATATATATATATATATATATATATATTTAGTCATTGATTATGTTTTATATATTTATAAAAGCTTTCGGGCTGAAGCTTCCTCAAAAATTAAATCCTTGATCCGCTACTGATTGGTTTTAATTTTATTTTTTATATGTCTCATAAATAACTATTTAATTCTTTTTGGTTTACATTGAATATAGTAATTATTTTCTTATGTTTTAGCCATTATTAATTCAATTTCAAGTCTATTTATTTATGAGCACAAATATTTCTCTTTATTTTTATTAGTCTAAATGGCACTGTATATCAAATAATTTTTATGTGTTTACGATAACCAAGAATGTGTTTTTTAAGGAATTTCAATAGCATCAAGAACCTTGGAAATGCTGAATTCAGTTATTTTTAAAAACCAGAAAACAATTTTTTATTGTTTCTTATCTTTTGAAGTGGTATCCTGGTATGACCGATGTCGTGTTCTTACTGTGACATTCGTTTGACATTATCGTTTAGGGAAATTCCTTTGTAGTTGATATCTCTAGGAACTCTCTCAGCTACTCACTTATTTTTAGCAAGAGCAGTTTCGTGGAATACTGTTATGACGATGTAACTACGTAGATTTTTAAATTTTCGATAATGTTTTTTACTTGAAAGTTTCATTTATAGTGAACCTTTTTGTAGTGAAAACATCTTTAGGCGCGTTTTGCACTATGGAGAGTGAATTCGAATGAGCCGTCAGATCTCTGATGTGTAACGCTCGGATAAAGTCGTCTGGAGTCGACTAATTAAAGTGTTTGTGCATATGGATTAAAATATCTCAAAAACTAAAAATCGGACCCCTATATTGTAGGTTTTGATTATGTTTACTTCTGGAGGGGTATTTTCAAACGAGACAAACACTAATGAAGTAAATAGTTACTTTAACAGTCGCGGTAAAATAAAGCGCTTCACCAATTGTGAGTTGATTGAATTAATTGAATACACTCAAATCCATAATAAAATACCCATTAAAAATAGAGATGGAACGAGAATATCATTTCGCCCTCCTTTCACATATATCGAAGAAAAGAAATTAAATCCAAATCGATAACAATGAATGGAATAAAACATGTATCTTAATGATTTTTCGATGGCTTACCTCCAAAATCTAAATTAAGTTAGGCTTGAGAGGTTTAGATTAAACCTCTAACCCTATAAATATAATATATTATAATTGTGGGATTGATGGTTGACTGTCGTGAATAATGAAGAAAATGATGTTTGGGTTGATCAGTCAGAAATAAAAAGGCAAAAATAAATAATAATATTTATTTTAACATTTGCCGACGTTTCGACCTGAAGTTCAGGCCTTCATCAGGGCTGTGAAAAGAACCAGGTAACAAGGTATGAGAAACGTAAACAATATATGTAAAAAAATATGAAAGTAAAATGAAGTGGGAATAATTATAATAAGTACTAAATTTAGTACTTATTGTAATGTAGGCTTATGTCTTCATTTATTTGTAGGCCGATCTGCTACCTATCTTATAACAACCTCTCTTAGCGAGTTTCTCTGTCCTCTTGATTCCTTCCAAAGACAGCTGTATCATCTGCGTATTCAAGGATTCTATGATTCATTCCGATGGATCCATCCATTTTGTGTGATGTTCTTATCACCTCCAGGGATAAGTTGAACAACATCGGTGATGGTCCATCACCTTTGAAGGCTTCAGATACTTCTCCTTGTATTAGGACTCGACATTTAGGGTCATTTGAACACATATATTAAAAATAGATAGATTACAAGAGAAATATTAAAAATAAAATCAGTCTTATTTATTATGATTCCTTTTAAAATAATCCATTTTGTTTCCAATCTTTTATAAACCTTATTAACTTGGAAGCTTCTCACGTGCCTTCATAAATAACTTTAAGTTAGATTAAAACATAATTACATTAAAAGACAACGTTGTCCATGCCAGAAAGGCGATGCATTGAAGAAGTATAAATTAAGTTGTGTTTATATATATATATTTGTTTATATAAGTTGTTAAGTTATATATATATATATATGTATGTATGTATTTATGTATGGGAATGCTTAAATTATAACGACTTAACCCATACTTTTATAGCATTGTTCTGTTTAGAAAACCAACCCTACTTGGTGAATTGAAAGTCGTGTGTATCTATGGCTCTTACGCTCTTTCTCAATCTCCATTGGTTCTGGTTAGGACTTCAGAATTCATTTTATATGTAATAAAAAAAACGCATATAGATCTAGATAGTCCTTTATTTTATATTACTTTGCATTTAACGTTCCAGCACTCAAACCGTTTTAATGGGACGAAATCTTATTTATTTAAGTATTGAATAAAATAAAATAATGTTATTCTTATAAATACTATTATTGATAAATAATAAAAATTAAGTGTTGGAAGGCAAATTTAGCCCAAATGATTCTATTTTTATATTAAAATAAGGTTTATTTCCTTTAAAATGGACTATTGGCTGAAACGTTGAATATAAAGTAAGACTATTTAAATCTAATGTGTGTTTTTAAGTTTATTCTTTATTTTATATATATATATTTTTTCTTTGGCTCTACAGACCTTGTAGATCTTTGGCCGATATATATATGTGTGTGTATATATATAAATTAGTAATTTAAAATATTTTGTTCATCAAAAATTATTTTGCTATCTCGGAAAAAAAAAATTAAATGATTGTTGTTCATATTCCCCATATTTTGTAATTTGCCCAATCTCTTGTAGTGACACGACAAATTACTTTTCATAAGTTAGTTTTAATCACTTTGGAAATTTGTAATATTAAAAAGTTAAAGTAAAGTGCACGTGTTGTATTTAATTCTTGCGTTAACTAGAATGATTTTAGTTTTCAAACTTAAATCATAGTCTGATTCTTCAACAACTTATATTTCGCTAATTAACTTTATGTCAGAGTTGACAAAAATGGCAAACGAGAAAATGAAATGAGTTTTTAAAAAATATTTTTTTATTTATAAACGAATATAAAATTATTAGTGAAATAATTGTTTTGTTTTTTTACTCAGTTGTTGGGTTTGTCTTATTTTATATGGTGGGATTTGAAATAATGAAAGATATATTTCAAAATTTAAAAAAAAAAAAAACTTGGATTGTTTTGTTTTTATTTTATTTGTAGGAGGATTTTTTGTGCAACTTTTTAACTTCGGCTCCTTACGTAGGAATATATCTTAATATTATTATAATGTTGTAGATTAGTCGCTTGTTTCATAAGTCGATTGAGTATTTGTAGTAATCATGCCGTTCTTATTTTTTATTTTTGAGTCTTAAGTCTACATATAATCCGAGATACCATATCTTACTTAGTGGAAGAATTCAATCTGCAAATTTCTTTGCAATGAGAAAATTTTTTGGCTGCTTCACAGCTTCTCATCACGTCCGGGATATAAATCAGATCATCAGGTCTCTTGGCCAACGCCTACGTAATCGTCGTAGTGGGCTGTACGGGTTTCTTGTACGATGAAGGATTTCTGTCAGGGAATTCATGTTGTACGTCAGTCTTTGGTGAAAGTTATAGTTCTCTTTTGCAGTATCTAAAATTGTAGGTACGTTTAAGTCTTTATTTAGTGTATCATTTGTGACATAAAACGGTGCGTCAACTATCCTTCGCAACACTTTTGACTGAAAAAAATAAACTTTTTTAATGTTGGAAGTTTTAGCAGAACCCCACAGTTCTATGCCGTAAGTCCAAATTACTTTTAGTAAAACTTTAAAAAGGGTTAGTTTGTTAGTTAAAGATAATTTTGAACGTCTTTCAAGTAATCTGGATAAAAGACCGTATCGTCTTGAGTCCTCCAAGTAAGTCTTTTGTTCAGGTAAAAACCTAAATACCTAATTACGTCAGATGTTGGGATTTTAATGTTATTAAAATATATTAATAATAAAGAATTACATTTTTTTTTTAATGTTTATTGAGAATATACAACATTGGAAGTCGAGAATTTTGAAGAGGAAAAAAAAACAGATTATGTCGTTATGACCGTGGGATTGAAAGTGGAGGAATAAAGAAAGACCACACAAAGGGAAAAGGACTTGTCGAAGAAAAAATCATTTCTGCTTTTCAACCTGAAGAATAGCGGTGGAAATTGAAAGGGAGGGTAGGGTCATCTCTGATTTTTTTTTTCTGTCCACACAAAATTTATCAATGGTCTCTTGGAAATTTCAGATGTCTCTCCCTTCACTCGTTGATTCCTGGAATATCCTTCAATCCGATGTTTATAAAGATCATCATGTATTCTATATTCATAATCTATTTAAATTTTATCGTATGAGTTCGTAACGTTTTAATTTTCTTTGAGCAGAAGGGCAAATGTACGAACTTTACTTGATT